ACCTTAGCACAGATACTTCCCTCCCAATGCAGACTGTCAGCATTTTTCTATTTTTAAACTCTTTGCCACTAGCAGCTTCGAATCATCTGTACAAGGAATGTGCTGCAGGATAAATGCTTGATAGGATGTCAAATTGATGGTCTTCCCTCCCCCATTTACACACACAGACAGACAACACACATACAGAGAAAATTTCATCTTAGAAAAATGCATCTTCCCTTGAATGTTTAGCTGGAAAACAGAGCAGGGAATAATCGCCAGGGTCTGGAGATTAGGAAAGAGGCAAAGAAGGATGAAGCTGTTCATAAGGCATTTCATTTCTTTTTAAATCAGATTTTCAGCTGGAAGAAATGAACGGGGCACCTCCGCTCTTTATGCGGTGGCGAACTCAAAATGCATTCTCTTATCGACTGGGGAGGTTCATGGAGATGTGATTTTTCATCGCGGCTGGTCCTCCCCGAATCAAATAGTGTGTGATGGGTTTGCTCGATCCCATTTTGGGGAGAAAGGCAGGATGTAAGTGCAATACATATATAAATATAAAAATAAATGCTAACCCAGTGCATAGGTTCCTATATTTGACACAGACCATAGCCTGTATCAGATTTCAGGTACCACAATTTAATAAGAGTATTGACAAGCAGGAAGGTGTCAAGAGGAGGGTGACTTTTGAACATCGTGGGGCTCATCTGCACTGCAGAAATAATCCAGTTTGGCACCACTTCAACTGTCCTGGCTGAGTGCGATGCAATTTCTGGGATCTGTAGTTTTGTGAGATATTTAGCCTTCTCTGTCGGAGAGCTCTGGTGCCCCAGCAAACTACAAATCCCAGAATTCAAACTGCATTATTTCTGCAGTGCAGATGAGCCCCAAGATGATCAAAGGTCTGGAAGCTACCTTATAAGAAAATGGCTGGGAGAAGGAGGTATGTTTGGCTTGGAGAAAAGGTGATGAAATATCTGTCTTTAAATATCTGAAGGGATGTTATGCAGAAGATGGAGCCGTCTTCTTTTCTGCAGTTCCAGAGACAAACCAATGGATTGAAATGGCAAGAAAAGAGATTGCACCTGCACATGAGGAAGAAATTCTCACCTGTTAGAACTGTTTGACAGTGGAATAGACTGCCTTGGTGAGGTGGGCTCTCCTTCTTGGGGGGGGTCTAGATGCCCACTGTGGTCCCCTCCAACTAGATCATTCTATGATTCTATGGATTTGTTTTGTGTGTGTGCAGAAAACAATGTTTTCTCTCAACTATGTCTCTGGCAATCCTCACCTAGGATTTTTTTTCTTTTTTTGGCCAAATTCCTTAAGGGGAGGCTTTCCCTTACTTCTCGCTGAGGCTGAGAGAGTGTGACTTGGCCAAGATCACCCAGTGACTTTCCATGGCTGATCGAGGATTTGAATGCTGGTCTCCCAGAGTTGTTGTCCAATACTCAAACCACTTCAGGAAACATGAGCACAAATACCCATGTGTGCTTTTCATTACGAATAAATCTCAGTTTGCAAAGATTCTTATCCTTCCAGTATTTCATGGATTGCAGAATTTCTGTCCCAACAGTCCTCTCAACCCTACTGTCACCACACAAACGTTTGAGATGAGAACAGGAATGACTGCCAAAAGTTTAAATAAATAAATAAATAAATAAAAACGCAAATCCCATGAAGAAGCTCCCATGCTTACACATTAAAGGCCTGCTTAAACAACAACGAAAGGAAAGCAGGTGGGGGTCATCCTAGCCTGCCATAGAAAGGCATTCATCTAAACTGTTCAGGTGTTGTAGTGGTTCTCATGTTTTGGCAGATGTGGCATTGACCATCCAACCCCCGAGTCACTTCCCAGTCTGGAAAGAGATGCAGAATGTATCGAGATCTTGCAACGAAAAGAACCGGGGAACATAGAATTCCCTTCTTGCAACAATGGAACTAGCCATCGATGTCATAAAATCATAGAGTTGGAAGAGACCCCAAGGGCCATCCAGTCCAACCCCATTCTGCCATGCAGGAACTCACAATCAAAGCATCCCTAACAAATGGCCATCCAGCCTCTCTTTAAAACTAGCCTCCAAAGAAGGAGACTCCACCACAATCTCCGAGGAAGGAGTGTGTTCCACTGTCAAACAGCCTTTATGGTCAGGAAGTTCCTCCTAATATTGAGGTGGAATTGCTTTTCCCGTAGATTGAATCCATTGCTCTGTGTCCTATTCTCTAGAGCAGCAGAAAACAAGCTTGCTCCCTCCTCAATATGGCATCCCTTCAAACATTTAAACAGGGCTATTATATCCCCTCTTAACCTTCTCTTCTCCAGGCTAAACATACCCAGTTCCCAAATGGCCTCGGCAGACGGAGGCCCCAGAGACGCCGCCGGACGGAGTACCGCGGGACTGCAGCCTCCGCACCCCGGCACTCCTGCGGCGTCCCTGGAAGG